TTATTTATTTATCTGAGAATCTTTTAACAGATATGTAAGAGTTCATGTAACAGTTATAGTAGGAGGTGAAGGAAACAAACAACTAGCCATTATATAAGTAGTATGAGTATTTCAGATTTATCCGTCCAAAATATGAAACTTGTCAAGTTAAACGGAAGCTAATCTAGCTCTAGCTTAAGATTTTTAGCCTTGTTGATATCTATGAAGTTTTAAACAGGAAACTGAAGTGTAATCTACTATAGTTTACTGCTGGTATGATGGTTGGTGAGGAACTAAGGATCTTGACACTGAATATGTCCTATAAGATGGAGGACGCATTCACGGCTTTTATTCTACATTAGCAGGATCAAGATATTTACGCTCAGATATCTCAAAGCAGAGAATATTTTACATGGATAACAATTCTTAAAGGTCAACCTGTCATATTTTGAGCTGCATCAACTTTACACAATCCATAATCTTGTTTAGCACTAGCCGGTCATCATCTGATAGTGAGGGATAAGTCCATGATTATATATTAGGCCAGCTAGTGTTCTCTTGCAATTCCTGAACCAGCTTACTGATATTTTAATGCAGTGGACTTCAATTCTTGTTGTTGCAGCTGTTGTTGTTCATATATCTAGAAATAATCCAACAACCGTGATACAGCTTCTATATTGTGAATGGTCTGTTTTAATTTCCAGCTTAATTAGATGAACCATTAACAAGAAATTGTTAAAGACTCTTAATAGGGATGATCATGTTTTAGTTGTCATGAAATTAATGTTGAAAGATGGACCTTTGGAGCAATGAGATAAATCAGATGATAGGAATACACTCTCCAAATACTGTGTAAGTAGGACATACAAGGTCATTCACACGGGCAATTTCCAGCACACGCCTCTTGTTTTCTAGAGCTTTGAGGTAAGGACTGGTAATGCTGCATACAGAATGGCCATCTTAAACATCCGCAGGAGGAACTTAAAACTAACAGTTTCTTCTTAAGGATGCAGTATACTAACCTGCAGACTTTGTAGTCTGTATGATTGTTCTGTGCTCCTTATTCTTTCCTGTTGAATTTGAAATTGCAAATTGCATATTACTCATTTGCTATGTTTGCATATGAACTTGGTTGTCACTTTGTTCAACCATGTATATATGTAGAGACGTCGAAGCAAAATCGGGTGAAAAATCTGTTCAAATCAATCAAAGGGAGCTCTTCACTTGCTCCAGAGCAGTCATCACATGCTCAGTCTCAGGCTCAAGCTTCATATTCATCTTCTGATCGAGACTCTTTACGTCATACACAACCCATCATTCCATCTTCATCAACTAATAGAGTCGTCACAAAATGGCATTCCAGCTTCATCAACTAATAGAGTCTAGTCACAAAATGGCATTCCAGCTTCATCAACTAACAGAGTCTCGTCACAGAATGACATTCCAGCTTCATCAACTAATAGAGTCTCGTCACAGAATGGCATTCCATCTTCATCATCTGATGCTCTTCACAACCAACTACACGTAGACGAGTTACAAATGACTCGGAGCCTCGTGATTGGGTTGTCGATGTTATAGGTACATATAAATTATAAATGATTTTGTTTTCCTCGATTATATTTTTATATGTTCTTTATTTTGTTGCAGATGAACGTCAAGTGATAAAATCTATTAGGTTGAAGGTTCAGGATGTCCATAACTTGGAGAATGGATCGCGTATAATTGTAAACTGTGATGAGTTTGCTCAACCTATTGGAAAATCAGCCGGCCTACTTGCAGGATTTTTGGGGCAGCTTGCTACAAATCCTCGATACTTTCCTATTGGCTTCGAGAGTTGGGCATCCATTCCTAAACCTTTTGTGAACCGTGCTTTTAATGATTTCGTAATGGTAGTGCCTTTTAATTCTTTTGCTTAGTTTGTATGTTATAGTTCTGTCAGCAGTAAACTAACATATATTATTTTTGTGAAGTCTCGGTTTTCCTTTACGAGTGATCCGCAAAAGGTAAAAGGTTGGATTAACAATTTACTTAACAAAAAGTGGAAAGAATTCAGGCTTAAACTATATCATGAGGCTGAGGATCCGTTGTTGAGTAAAGAGGATATCATCAAGAATGTTCCAGAAGGCATTCCCATTGTGACGACCCGATCCGTCGTCTCATGTGTTACTGCTTCGTTTCTCCCATTTTATGCTTCTTTATGTTTCGTTATCGGTATGTGGTGTGTTAGAGTTGATTTGGATTGGTTTTGATAAGAAATGAGACACTTAGTCTCTTTAAGGAAGGCCTAAGTTGGAAAAGTCAACCGGACGTTGACTTATGAGTTAGAAAGCTCGGATGTGATTTCCGGTGATTCGGTTAGCTTCGGGAAATGATTTGTGACTTAGGAGTGCGATCGGAATTGATTTTGGAGGTCCGGTGTAGAATTAGGCTTGAATTGGCGAAGTTAGTATTTTGGCGAACTCCGGTTGATAGGTGAGATTTTGATCCGAGGGTCGGAATGGAATTCTGAGAGTTGTTGTAGCTTCGATAGGTGATTTTGGATATGTGTGTAAAATTTCAAGTCATTCGGACATCGTTTGGTCGGGTTTTTGATCGAATGCGTAATTCGGAAGTTTTTAAGAAACTTAGGCTTGAATCCGATGTGATTTGATGGTTTTAGCGTTGTTTGAAATGTTTTGAGGATTGGAACAAGTTTGAATAAGGTATTAGGATGTGTTGGTGTTTTTGGTTGAGATCCCGGGGGCCTCGGGGTGAATTCGGGTGGTTAAACGGAAGGTTTTTTGGAGTTAATTGCAGGTTCAACCTTGCTGGTATCTGTTGGTTTCGCACCTGCGGTTATGGGACCGCAGGTGCGGTCTCGCTGAAGCGATTGGAAGGTGCGCAGAAGCGGAAGTCTTGGCCCTTGCTAGATTCCGCAGGAGCGGAAGGAGGACCGCATAGGCGGCTTCGCAGAAGCGTGCTAGACCTCGCAGGAGCGGAATTTGGAACCCTGGTCAGGTTCCGCAGAAGCGGAACATTGGATCGCTTAAGCGGTCCCGCAGATGCGATTGGGACCGCATAAGCGGAAGGTTGCCTTAAGTGAAAGGTCCACAAAAGCGAACGTTGACCGCATAAGCGGAAGCCGCAAAAGCGGTACTGGACCCGCAGAAGCGAAATGCCTGGCAGTTAAGTGAAATTAATCATCTTCGCGAATTTTTGAAAGAACAACATTTGGACTTCGGACTAAGGAGATTTTGGGCGACTTTTGAAGAGGGTTTCGAGGGCTATCATCAGGTATGGATTCTTGGGCTTAGATTATGTTATTATTGTGTATAAACATGAATTAACACTGAAAACCCAAGGAATTAAAGGGTAAAAATGGGGTAAGTTAGGGTTTGAGAATTTTGATGTAAAAATGGAATTTGGAGGGTCAAACGAACTCCGATATTGGTGAATTTTATATGTATGGACTCGTGGCGAGACGAGGAATCCGGTGATGTAAATTTAGTAATTTTTCGAGAAGCGGGCCCGGGGCTCGGGTTTTGCTACTTTCGAGATTTCTGCTATTTCTTGGTTGTTTTCGATTGGGTATTGTTCCCTTGGCATATTGTAATGTATTCGCTCTGATTTTGGTTAGATTCTCCGCGCGTGGAGGCCGGTTTGAGGGGCAAAGGCGTCGAGAGCTAGAGATTTCACCGGTTCGAGGTGAGTAATACTTGTAAATGATATCCTGAGGGTTTGAAACCCCGGATTTGCACATCATAGTGCTGTATTGTGGTGACTTGCATGCCAGGTATGAGCGTGGGATAGAGCACCGTTGGGGACGGTGACTTGGTCCGTCCCGGTTGTTGATTTTACTGCGTAATTGACTAAAACCTGCTTGATGCTATCGTGATTTGGGCTGATTGCCATGTTTTGGGCTTCGTGCCGATTATTTGAATCCTTTAGGGATTATTATCACTGTTTTCATGACACTTAGCATATTAAATGATTTCAGTCCTGAGTTAAACCCTGTTTTGAAATGTGCAGTCATATTGTTAAATTTTAAAGACTTAAATTGTATTTTTCTGATGTTTTGAGTTAAAAGCTATTACTTGACATTGCCCGAGTGGCTCATTTGCATGTTCTGGACTGAGGATGGATCGGGCTGCACGCCGCAGCGATACTATGATGATATTGCGCTTGGGCTGTAGGAGCCCCTCCGGAGTCTGAACCCCCACAGTGAGCGCGGGTACCCAAATGGATCGGGCTGCGCGCCGCAACGGTCATATGCATTGCATTGCATTCATGCATTGGTTCCTGTTTGTAATACGTGTCATGACATTCAGCACTCTCATTTCATTGGCATTCATGCTACATCTTGCACTGTTTACCAGACGCCCTGGTGTTAATTGTTAGTGGAGTGTTGTGCCCGAGGGGCTGACTTATATGCGGACTTACACTATCTGATTACGCATTCATTTGCATGACTGTTGGAAAAGGATATTTTCAAAAGAGGTTTTTAAACTGAGTCGGATATTTTCTAAAGGATTTTTCACGGTTTTACTGTTTTCTCAAAGGGTTGTACCGTCCTATATAGCATGATGGAGTGCTCTTACGTGATTTCTTGTCTCTCAGTTATTATTTACTCTTATTACTCACTGAGTTGGAAGTACTCACTTTACTCCCTGCACCTCGCGTGAAGTTGCAGGTATTGTTTACCCGGTAGCGGGTTATTAGCGGACTGAAGGTAATACTAATGTAGCTGAGCAAGGTGACCGCCAGCGTTCGCGGCACCGGACTTCATCTTTTGGATTCCAGATTTCATTTTATATATATATGACCCTGTAGTCATGTTCCTACCTCTTAGATGCTCGTGACTTGTGACACCCCGGTCGGGTTGTGTTGGGTTGTAAATACTAGTTATTATTGTCGTTAAGTTGTATTTATCTATTCATTTATGTTTAATATTTATTAAAGTGAAAGGTTTTGAGTTAGTTGGCTGGCCTTGTCTTCACGAGAGGCGCCATCACGACCGGCATGGAAATTAGGTCGTGACACCCATGGACCAACGGGCATTGTTTGTTAACTATCGTTTTAAAGAGGAAACAAAGGTTGTTGTTGTTGTTCTTCTTCTTCTTGTTTCACTACTTGTTTCTGCTGCTGCTTCTTCTCTACCACTGATGTGACTCTTTTTTTCCCTTTTTGACTCGCAGGCGCTTTGCTTGAGAAATCAATGGATTCGAGGACAACAAACACTTCCCCATACTAGTGGTGCTATGAGTTTGACTAGAAGAAGGGCTTTGATGGTAGTTTAATACAACGTACTTGATGTCGCTTTAATGTGACAAAAGTTATTTAGTTTAATTTTACTTTTTAAAACTTTCAGAAGAAACAGGGAAAAGAAGTTGATCGCGGCAAAGTGTGGACTGAGACTCATAAGAGGAAAGATGGGAGTTATGTGAATGATCAAGCTAGGGAGATTGGGGTAAGTGTCTATCACTATTTTCTGCTTTCTTCTTTTACTTTCCTGTTAGTGGGAAAATGGGAATTGGAATGGTATTCCATATTCTGATCATTTCTCAGCTAATGCAGTGCAAGCCTCTCTCTGAGCCTGATGTATTTACTTCTTTCTTTTCTTTATTTACACATTTTTTCATTTCTGGATCTGAGATGTTATTTATTTTTTGTATCTTCTTGCTGTTTGTTTGTTTTTAAAAAATCTTTTCTTGGATCAATATTATCTATACAAGATTAATATAACGTATTTGCTGATACTTCAGAATATAGATTGGATTCTTGAGATATCTTCATATACTCATTGAACTCTGAACTTGTTGTGAGCCATTTAATGTTAAATATTTTTTTTTTAAAATTCATCCTTTTTGGCAAATTCTGAGTTGAGTTTGTAAAAGGAAGCAAATTCTTTTCTGTAAAAATGATACTATATATGTTCTGTTTTTTTGGCAATGTAATAATTTTTATTACATTTGAGTAATAGTTGTCTATTCCTTGATGTTTGGCAAAGCACTGACTGAAGTTTCACAAAGGGTAGAAATTTCAAGTCTTTTTTGTTGATTTAGTCCACTCGTGACTGTTGTTTGGTTTCTCAAGTTGCCAGAGTTCTGCTTGCTATATTCTAATATTCTCTTTCGGGGAGCTTGCTGTTATTCCAGTGTGGAGTTTCTGTAATAAGCTCGTGATATTAGACTGATCATGAAGCTCAATTGATTGCAAATTGTTTCTTTGAATATGATGTTTCATGCATTGTTTCTTTATTTTCTATCCGGTGTTAGTGCATCCAATATGATTTTTAGTTGAAATAGTTTGTGGAGTTTCAATAGTAAATCATAATTCATCTAAAGTTCAGCAGTCCAATAAATCTCTTCAAAGCTATATATGTTAGAAATGGTTTGTGGAGTTTGCAGATGGTAACACTATCTGTTTGATTGAAAGAAATGAAGTTATTGTTGATACAAGTACTTCCAGCACTTCAGAATCTACCCATTGACTCGATCCTTAGCTTTTGTAATTATATTTTGTCTCTCGTGTAGGAAAGAATTGAAGAAATTCGAAGACAAAGACCAGAAACTCGGGCAGAAATTTCACCGAATGACGCGCTTGGTGTAGTCTTCGGTCCCGAGCACCCTGGCCGTGTTCGAGGCTTATGGCATGGGGTAGTATTCAAGCAAACATCAAGACGAGGTGGTGATTCTTATATGGGCGCAGCTAGCACTAGTGCTCCACCTCCACAATGGGTGCAAGAGATGGCAAATATGAGATCACAATTAAATGCGCTAACAAGCTTATTTCAAATGAAAATAGGAAATATCTCTGAGGAGTTTGCTCACTTATTTCCGACTCCTTCACAGGTAAGTCTTCTGATCACGCCCAACTATGCCTTATAAAAAGGACTCTGCGGACGTTGCAAATATAACCCGAGTATTACGCCCAGGGTCGAATCCATAGAGAGTTAACCTATCAACCACTATCTTCAGACCCACTAATTCTTCAGAACCAGCTTCCCAAATATTCAAATCTCAGTTGAATGTTCTTTAACAACTACGCTTGCAAGTAACTAAATGGCTGTAAACTAAACTAATAAGGTTGTAAACAATTATGATAAAAAGCTAAGGCAATGATTTCCCCTATTGATAGAATCACTTCTGTTTATGCTCATACAAATTTACCAACACATCTCTATCAATCATGAACGCTAATCTTACAGTAAATCTCTCCCGAGTAATCACAGTAATTTACTATTGCACTCTCCCGAGATACACTAGCTTACTTTATTTAGCACGATTCACTTTAGATTACACCCAAGGCTTCGTTATCCCTAATCCCGCCTTTAAACCCGCAATTATAGATTCCTCTAATAATCTAGGAGTGGTGTATCAACAATACCCTAAATATGCACTATTTTCCAAGTTATGCACACTAAATAGGCACAGCTAATTGAGGATCCTATCAATTAACTACAACAAACACGAAGTTGAACAAATAGAGATTAAACTAGCAATTTGTATTCACATAAACAAGAAGTTCATCACCCAATAGGTTCCATCAAAACCTTATACAAGGAATTTAGCTACTCATGGCTATGGGAAAATAAACTAAGATAAAATTCATCATAAAAATCAAAAGTAAAGAAGAAAGATGTTTGGAGTATTCTCTCACAATGGTTTTCCTTGCTAAGAAACCCTAAAAATCAATATCTTTCTCTTGGGCGAAGTCTAATGTTTTAAATAGGGTTTAGGTCTAAAAATCCCGTATTTGACACTTTGACCCCTGAACTTTTTTGCGCCTGCCGCGGTTCTGCCGCGGTCGCGGTAGAACCGCGGCCAATCACCCTCTCTGAATCTCTAAAGTTCTGAAGCTGCCTTCCACCGTGGTCCGCGGTCGCGGTAGAACCGCGGCCAAACCATTTTTCTGAATCCTAAGGGCTGGCAGGGCGTAGCTTCATTGGGAATTTACACATTTGGCCTCTTTTTTCCAATTTTGACTCCAAAACTGCTCCTTAGCCTTCCTTATACATATATCACCTGCAAATCATGAAAAGCACTAATAAGAGCATTTTGTTATCACTTTTAGCATTAAAACTACACAAGAAGGTGATTATTTAAGGTGTGATTATAGTCATATTCACCTATTATCAACACCCCACACTTAAACCTTTGCTCGTCCTCGAGCAAACTAAACCACACTTCTAGGCCTAACTGTTCAATGCATTGCCCCAATTTATGTCACACCTGCTATTATTAATGATCGACCTAAGCAGTGCACAATCATATCTCAAATGCAGACTCTCATGCCAAGACACACTTGTGTTCACTCTAATTACTCTAACAGAAGTGAAGACTCACTTTTTCTTCCTGAGTCACATGCCCTCACATAAACCAAAATCTGAGAGAGGTTCCACACACATAAAATTCAACAACAAGGAACCATATATAGAAAGAATTCACTCACTCTCAGCAAAGAGCATTCACATGCCACACAGACACACCATAAGCTTGCCCCTAGTGTAATACTCTACTAATCGAGCCATTCAGTCAAAGATCAAGAGGTCTTTATAGGTTGTA